GACCACACGTTCCACATGCCGCAGAGCGCGGGAGACACTCTGCCATGATATGGGACTGCCATGGGCCGCGTTCAAGGAAAACGCAGTAAAGGCGACAAGAGCTGGCGCCACTTACAGTTCACAGCCGTATTCAGTGGCTGAGTTGTTTTAAGTGCGTGCGCTGTTTGTTTGTGTTGTTTTTAAAAAGCCCCCCTCCCCCGGCCCACAACCCCTAATTTCTAACTGCGTAGAACGCGCTCAACCCTTTAATGCGTGTGCCCAAAATCGAACCAGGTTTGAGCGTGGAGTATACAACAACAACAACAACAACAATGGGCACGCAGCTTTTGCTTTTGTCTTTTCTCTTCTCAAGTGCCGGTCAAATTGATGCGTTTTTCCGCGACGGCGGCAACAACTTTCAACGCCGACAGTTTGCCGGCGTCGCTCGCGTCGAACAGAGAAACCCCAAAGTGTCCGGGTCCGCTGGGGCTCTCGAGTGCGTGTCGAAAGGGTTCAAGCTCTGGCCATAAAAGCCTTGTTAAACGTTATTGCTAAAACTGTGCTACTAGCGTGCGAGTGCGTGCGAGTGCGTGTGTGTGCGTGTGTGTGTGTGTTTATGTGTTTCGGGGAGTGCTTAAATTAATTTCATAGACTTTGCTTAATTTTAACTGAGTAAATTTGCTTAAGAGACAATTTTTAGTCATGTTCAATGCAAAGACATAAAAACATAAAACAATTTTAAGGAATATTTGCTGGTCATTCGTCCAAGGCTAATCAAGCGAGGAACTTCAAAAAACCTATCTATTAAAACAGGAATTTAAATTGAACAGCATTCAAGCCCGTGAGTTATATTTTATATATTTTTCAAAATAATAACATAAAATTTACTCAAAATCTGTCACTATTTGCAATGAACACTCGTAACATCCACAAATATTTTTAAATTATTGCAGCCAACTGCTGGCAATATATTAATAAGCAATAATTAAACTATCAGCTAGCCAAAAAAGAAATAAAATGTATTTAAAAATTTCGAGTCAAAGTACAAAAGAGATAACGAAACGATTATAATTTCCAGTTGGCCGAAACAAATGAACGGCAAACTAAAAACGATTGTCGTTTATAATGACATTTTAATGGGCCGCAAAATGAGCGCCGATTTGGACTGAAATTAATTAATTAAATTAAAAATATGCATGTGTAATTTGTTGCTATTTTCGATTTGGCCATTCAAGTTTCTAACGGATTGATTGCTGTAAATTTATCATACGATATTAGCTCGATTTAATTGCCACCGCCAACTGAATACGAATGCGAAAACTATTTGGGGCCCCGTCAAGCGGATGATTATTACATTTTCTGAATGGGGAGCAACAAAAGTTTATGGCCAAATATAGCGAAACTAGATTAAAACGGCTGTTAAAACAGACCTGCAGGCTTAAAGAGCCACGAGGCGAGATTAATGATCGGCCAGAAGCATGGCTAAAAGCAGCTTTGGCTATAAATATACCGTAAACTTGGCTAAGCGCACAACTAGTTAGTTCCATGCTAAAAATAATAGTTAATAGTTGGCCTAAACTCTGGGTAATTTCATAATTTTGAAATAATTAATTTGCAGCCTGCAGAAGGCCTAGAAAGACCTGATGACACATGTGACCCTTAAACGCAGAATCTACACACATGTGCGCGCATATGTGTGTGACTCTAACTGTTGTTTTTGTTGCTGTTGTTGTTGTTGTTGTAGTTTTGCTGCCTATGGCAATCACTTGCTAAAATGCACACAATAACATTTTCAAAATGGCGTCAAAAGTGCAAAGCACAAAAAAAAAGAAGAAGAATAAAATAGGAGAGGAAAAAAAGAATTGCAGAAGCCGCAAAAAGAAACACGACAACAACAAAAACTTGCATTACGTGCTGGCCGCAGCAGTGGATGGTAGGCAGGGCGCAGGGTGCAGGGGTTGCAGGGCTGCAGCCAGCTAGTGTGAGTTACAGGGGTTGCTGCAGGCGTTGCTGCCGCTGCACTCTCACATCACACTCAGAGCCGCGAGCTCAGAGTGCAAAGCAACTGAGTTTAATTATATCGAGGCTAACGAGTTTTTAGATGGCGCACAGACTCAGCGAACCGTTAATAAGCATTTAATTACTCAGAGCGTGCGAGCGAGCAAGCGAGAGAGCAACAACACATCAGCCAAGCGCTCAACGATATCACGATGACACTCTCCCTTGACACTCTCCGCTGCCGCTGCCAATGTCGCTGTCACTGCTGCCGCTGCCGCTGCTGCTGCTGCCGCCGCTGCTGCTGCTGCTGCTGCTGGCGTTGCGCCAGCATTGCTACCTTCGCGCAGACGCTTGTCTTGAAAAGGGGGCGGAGTTTTTTTCTTTTTAGATATAAATTCTGCGCGCCACTTGACGCCCACCCACCCCTCAACGATGAGCGCCCTTCTGCTGCGTTGCCAGGGCAAATAAAAGTTCCATGTACATTTTTTTTAACGTTCTCATTCTTGTTGTTGTTGCTGCTGTTGTTGTTGTTATTGCGCGCGCTCTCGCGACGACGTCGCCTTTGCTCTCGGCCGCTTTGGCAAATTGTAGCCATATTGGATTTTTAGTATATTTTGTTGTTGTTCTTGTGTTTTGTTTTTTTCCTCTCTCTTCTTTTTTTCTTTTTATTTTTTTTGCCAGTGACTGTGACTCAAATGCCGGTGGTTTTTGTGGGTGGTTTGTTGCGAGTCACCCTCATTTTGTGGCAGGGTGGCAAACATTTTTTCCCTTATATTTTTGTGTTTTTTTTTCTTCTGCTTTTACCGTTCACATAAATTTTGTATATAGTGTGCGGCACGTGTATTGATGGCTGCTGCTTCTGGTATTGGTGAATAGAGAGTTTGGGTCGCTCGCTGTTGCTAGGTGAATACACGCATACACATGCACACTCTATATACATGCATTGATGTGAGTGTGCGTGTGTGTTTGTGTGTGCATACAATTGTATTTTTATTCGCGTGACGCCTGCGTTTGCGAGTTTGATTTAGTAGCTGTTTAGATTGGCAGCTGTATGTATGTGTGTGAGTGTGTGAGTGTGTGTGTGTGTGGGTGTGTAGGTGTGTGGGGTTGTGTGCGTGCTCCTATATATTGATGTATCTTTTGATTCACTAGTCACCCATTCACTCGGTCTTCTGTGCTTGTCCATCTTCCATTTCCGTTGCCATTTGTTTATCATTTCTTTAGCTGGGGTTGCTTTATGTTGTTTTTGAAAATATATTTTTTTTCCCCTATAAACTTTTAGCATTTTTAGGAGCATTCTCCGCTTTTTTGAGCTTTGAGTGCAACTCAAAAATCGCTTCATTAGAAAAAACAAATGATGGCAGCGCTGCTGACGCCGGCAGCGACTTGCGTTGTCCTGCGGTTAACGTCGCCGCTGCTGCGGCTGCTCCATTTTTATTTTCAACACCAACAAACTGCCGTTAATTTGCATATGCATGGGTGTGTTTGAGTGTTCAGCATTGAGCGTTGGTGTGCACGGCTTTTTTTTTTCTTTCCATTTTGGTGGTTTGCGCAACCACCAACAACAAGGCAATAAGAAGGACCAGGGCCAGGACCAGGGCCATGGCCAATGCCACCCCCTTTGGACTATGGTCGCTGTCGACGTCGCCGCGAAGTGCGCGGATCGTGCGCCAGCTACAAGTTCGGGCCCAGGCTCCGTGGTTTATCCTGCCCGTTGGCCTTGTGCAGTATGACAACAGCAGCCGCTGTTGCCAGTTCTCAGTTGCCACAGAGCGCGACAAATAAATCTTAGTCATAGTCAAGAGCAGGCTGGCCAGTTGGCCAGTCAGCCAGCCAGCCAGCCAGCCAGTGCCACAGTAAGCACCCAGTAAGCCAGACCAGAACAGCCTGTCCCAACTGACTGCTGACTGTTGCAGCAGCTAGCGACGAGCGACGAGCAGCGAGCGACGACGACTTTGCAACTTGAAATTGATTTATGGCGCAAATTTTATTGTCTGGTTCGGGACTGGAACGTGGACCACTTGACAGTCTGGTGTCTGGTGTCTGGCCAGTTTCAACTTGTTAGCCACTAACTGTAACTGTTCAAAGTGCGTATGTGTTGGTGAAATGTGCGCGTGTCCCTGTGTTGTTGTTCTTGTTGTTGTTGTTGCTGCCGCTGCTGCTGCTGCTGCTGCTGCTGCTGCTGTTGTGCCTGCTGCAACATTGACTGAGTTTGGTGGTAGGGGGGGACAAAAGGCAGTTTTCATTACACAAACAAACTAAATAAATACTGGAGTGCACCTTTGTACTGAAAATCGATATAAATTAAGTGGCGCGCAAATTCATAAATTTAACTAAACAAGTGGAAACTTTCGCTGAGTCAAAATAAACACACGCCAACAGCAGGGAGGATCCATAAAATGGGCAACAAGTAAGTCTTAATTCATTTGCATAAAACCATGTGTAGACAACATTTGACAACTGCAAATGTTATTCAATTAATTAAAATTTTATGTGCTCATATTGTGGTTATTTTGATAATACGACTATATTCTGTTTATTCAATTAATTTATTTAGTTTCCTTTATGTTATGTGTTGAGTTTTTTAATGGCCAATGCTAATTATTTAATTTAATTTAGTTACATGTTAATTAATTATATTTGAGGTATTTTTATGGTCAAGCTTGATTTAAATTATTTTATTTAATTTAGTGTCCTAATTAATTTGTGTGTTAAGTTTTGCTTGTATTTAATTTAATTTAGTTTCGTTTTCGCTTTAATTTAATTATTTTATATAATTTAGTTCCCTTTATGTTATTTTATATTAAGTTTTTTATGGTCAATGCTTCTGTTTAACTATTTAATTTATTTCTAAGATTTTGAATGTTTAAATATTTATTTAAGAATATTTAAATGTTTAGCTTAAATTTATTTTTGGTCCGAAAAAAGAGTTATTTATGAGTCAACTAATTTATTTATGTATTTATTTATAAAAACTGATGCATTTTTAATATGTAAATATACTTTTTTCTCCTAATTTATATTCTATATATATTTTTATATAAATACTTTAGTACGACTTATTGGTTTGTTTGGCATTTTAAATTAATTGAGCAACTTTTTTTTTTAATTATACAACTGATTTATGCATTTAAATCAATACTGATTAATTCATTTGTTATTTAAAGCTTTTTATGGCTCACTTTTGATGGTCGCTCATTTGGTTTCTTGTGCATTTGCGGAATTCTTTAATTACTTGAAAGTATTTATTAGCAAGTCCTTTAATTTCTCAATGCAAGCTGCAGGTGCTTGCCACTTTAACATAAGTAAATTAAATCAGTGGCATTTTTAACGCCATTCGCAGCACAACGCGGCAAAGGAAATTCGAATCTCGGTGCTTACGACTATCAAATTAAATTGGTTGTTTTCTTTGTTGCTTTTTATTATTTTGTTGTTTTTGTTGTCTTTGTTGTTATTTTTTGTGATTGCCCCAATATTGATATTCCATCCGCGGGCCTGGCCGAGAGTGTGCTTTAAAATGAACAACAACATTCGATGCGGCCAGCATTGCTGTGTACTTTGGTAAAGCGCATTATGGCATTCGCATTACGTTGCCCGGCCGCTTATCAAGGACCACTTAAAATCCTCACCAGCTTCCCATCCACGTCGAATCAACCTGCAGCTGACTTGTCCAGTGGATCTCGTTCACTTGTTTTTGGGTGGTGCCGATGACGCTGCAATTTGCGCTGCGGTTGCGCCCGGCTTAGGGGTGCGGGCTGGAGCGGAAGCGCTCAGAACTGGACTGACAGCAGCATTTGGGGTATGGACTGGTGGCTGTGGTCGGTGCTGGTCAATGGCAATAAAATGTTTCATCATTAAAAAACCAACGTGAGAGCGCCAAAAAGGAAAAAAGGAAAAATGTTAATTTCGTATAAAAACAACAACAAGAACAAGAACGAAGCAAAATAATAGCAAGTGAAATGTGTTTGTTTTTTATATATATTGAGTATGATGATGATGTTGAGAATGATGTGAATGTGGTTGTGGATGAAGATGGCTCTCCCTTGATGAGCGTATGTGTGTGTTAAGTGCGTACACAAAGGTGTGGACCCTTGAATATGTGTCTCTGTGTGTGTGTGTGTGTGTGTGTGTGTGTGTGTGTGTGTATCCGCATAAATTAGTTCCATGGTGACCCATTTAAATTTCGGATTGTGTTGGGATTCTCCCGTATATGTTGTTTTGAGGTATATATATATACATAAGAATGTTAAGTGATTGAACTGCGTAATGCACATAAGGAAGGCAGAAAAAGATTTCGCTGATATCTTTGGAATATTTTTTAAAAGAATTCATGTTAAGGTATTCCTGTTTAGCCATTGGTCAGCTTTGATCATAAAGTAATCAATTATTGTTTTATATACATAACATTCTTTCTCATTCTTCAACAATTTCCCTTTTTCCAAAATGTCACATTCGCATAAGATACTCGAATTTGCTTTGATTTCAATCTTAACTTTGCTCATAAGTAAAATAAAATGCACTTCTTTCTACACAAAATATGTCTCCTTTCAGCTCCATTCACTTCTTTATTGAATAATACTTTCAATTTATCCTTCTATTGATATTTTCTCTGCTTGATACATTCGCACAAGATAATCGTATTCGCTTTAACTTTCGTTCTGAGCATTTTATCATATTTTCTCAATGAATTTTAAATGATCCCAAATGATCTATCCTTTCCGTATCATTCTCTCCTTTAGAAAATAATACTTTTCCATTTCCACCCGAACGATATTTCCTTTCAGTTCCATTCACTCCTTGAATGAATAAATCTTTTCCATATTATTATTATATATCTTTTAAATATCATCATTTCTCATTCTCTTTATATTTTCTCATCATGACGCATGGCAAAGCGCAAGATAATCGTATTTGCTTTAACATTCATTCTTAACTTTTTGCACTTACAAGTTTCTACACATAAATTGATTTCATCTTGTCAGCGCTTTGTCAATTAATTTCCCCCAAATGATGGCTCCTTTCAGTTCGAGTCGCTCCTTTAGTCAATAATCCTTTGCCATTTTTGTGTGCTTCCTCCGGTTGCTTTTGCTTTGAGCTGCTATGCTTTTAATTTTGAGCTGATCTTTTGATTAATGCCTAAACGGAAGGTCCTTTTTGTCCATTCTCGACTCCTTTATGCAAATGGCCGGCACTTTAATTAGAAAAACTCCGTTTGCTTCGAGGGGAGCAAGAAAAATGCCTTTCATTTAGCTACTCCCCTCGGAAAGTTGTCGCCAAGTTTTGCTCATTATGCTCAGTTTTTTTTTGTCGTTTTGTTTGTCATTTATAAATTGGAAAAGTTTTCTTAAGCAAATTATGCCATTTTTTTGTTTTCAAGAGCCGAACCCTTTTCGAGTAAATGTTCGTCTTTGGTTTTAATCGGGCAAATGTTTTTCCTCTTGCTGGAAATTCGTTGCGCTTTGCCATGCTGCAAGAATTTATCTCTAAATGCAAAGCAGCATCAAGCTGCGGCATTTGGCTGGCTGAAAAAAAAAACAGCTCCAACTCAACGAATTCAACTTTAACCGCTGCCAAGACCCTTTCGTCCTTGCAGCAGAGACAAACAAATTAAAGGGGGATTATCATCATTTCATCTTGTTAACTGACGACTGCCCCTGCTCCGCGTTTTTCTCGTTCTTGTTGAACCCTTTGTGGCCATCGCCATCAGCTGACGTTTCTCAAGCGACGACTGCGTCACTTGGTCGCCAGCCAGCCAGCCAGCCTTTCAGCCTTTCAGCCTTCCAGCCTGACTGCCTGCCAGTTTCCTTTCTTCTTCTTGGTTTTTTTTTTTTTGTCATGTTTTTCCTACTGCGACTCAGATTTGCCTCCCATTCGGACCTGGCTGCGGCATTGAGGTAGGCAAGGGTTAACTACAGCTAACTCCAGCATCGAGCTCGGGCCCAGCTTCAGGTTCCCAAGCGACGACTTTTGCATCCGTTCGCTCGCTGCTGGTGCATTCAACTTTATGTCTTTGATTTATTGTCGCTGCCCCTTTCCGCTGGCAAGGCAATGAAAGCGAAACAATGGCTGGGACGGGCAACTGCAGGAGCAGCAAGAAACGAGCCCTTGTTCTTAAGCCAACTGTCTTCCGTCTAGAGGTTTGCTCCGTAAGTAGGTCTATAGGCTACCGTGGCACTTTCAGTTTTCAGTCAGAGCCGCGTGGGTTTAGCCGTCTGTGATTGCTTCTGCTCCCTTTTGGCTTCTTGTGATGTAATAAATATGCGACCCTTTGTCTGCTGCAGATCGCTATCCCAACGCCTCTCCCTCTCCCTGTCCATCTCTCATCTCGTTTCTTGTGGCTGCATGTGAAAATAGTAACATGTGTTGTTCAAGGAAAGGGAAATGCCATAAATACTCGTTGAAAATCTGTTGATTAGTGAGCAAATAAATTCTTGTCTATTCTGTGGTCAGCTACGTCCGCACCAGGCTCACAGACGGAGCCACAGAGATTATGTAATAAAGATACTCGCAGAGGAAACAAGTGTTGCTGCGGGGCGTATCCATTGTAATTAGCCAAGTAACATAAATGTGGCCTACAGTTTGAGGTTCATCAGCTTGTTATTGAAACCTTTTTTGCTGCCTGCTCGAATCGCCGCCTTTTGCTTATTTGCCAATCCGACTCGAATTCTAATGGTTGCTGCAAAACGTTTGTGTGCGTGTGGGTGTGTGCTGCAAAAGTAGACCACAAAATTGTTGGTATTGCTATCAAGCAACCCCCCAACAAGCTCAGTGTTAAACCAAAACACAGAGCAAACAAATAACCACACAAATTTGTGACATGGCTCACAGCAAAGTTTTTCTGTTTGGGGCGTGCAACGCATACGCCGTGTTGCCTGCCACAGACTTAAACCATAAGCACATCCACTGGCAAATGGAAAGTTGTTGTTGCTGCTGCTGTAAACGTGATTGAGCGGCAGCAATTTGATTGATAACTGTTGTTTGATTCATTGAATAGATGTGCATAAAATAATTTGTTAGTCATATTTAAAAGTAGAAACAAATCTTTTAAAAATGATGCTTGACAGCAGAGATAGATGTGATTTGTATATTGGCATTCAATTGGGTCTCACATAAGTCTGAAATAATATTTCAATATTTAGCGCAGTATTTGCATGCAACACCTGCCCATTATAATTGCGGTTGTTGCTGCCGCAAGTGGGTGTCGCACAAAAACAATGCAATTGCCTATTGGCGACCAATGTGAGAAATGAGATTCACTCATTCACTCGACGACTCATTCGAGCACCTGCTCAGCACAGTTTTCCCCTCATTTTTCTCATGTGGGGCCTTATGCGCATGTCGGGGTTCTCTTTCCCTGGCTGTGTTTGAGCTTTGAGCGCCTGGCAAATGTCAACTTCGATCAGCAGCAGCAGCTGAGTGAAACCTGCCCGCCCCGTTGTTGCTGCCACACGTAGGTGCATCCAAGTCCAAAGGAAATGTCAGTCAGGCGACAAGCCCACAAGCAGCAACAACAACTTCAACAACTGTTGTTGCAACAGGGCTAATCCTGAGCCAAAACACGTGCAACAGCAGCAACAGCAGCAGCAGCAGCAGCGACTGTGGTGAGTTCTCTGAGCGACAAAGCTGCAAGGCGACAAAAGTTCGGGCAACATGTTGCAGTTGCAGATTGTTGTTGTTGTTGTTGTTGCTTGTGTCGCTGTCGCTGCTGGCAAAATTGCAATTTCACAAACACGCACACACACAGCCACACAGAGGGGAACTTGTATTGGTCTCGGACTCGCTTGACGACGCCAGCAGCAGTGGCAGCAGCGGCAGCAGCAGCAGCAGCAGCAACTGCAAACTGTGCCGCCCGGCCTATAAGACCAAAGCTGACGTTGCCGTTGCCGCTTGACGTCGATTCCGATTCCGAATCCGAGTCCGAGTCGCTTTTCAAGCAACCCGCATTCGCTTTTTGGCTTTCGTGCCGCGCGGCAGCCAAAACCCAGAGAATTCACCAGAGAACTTTTTGCACGCGTGTTCTTTCAACATACGTTTATGGCGTATCCTAGCGGGCTCCCAACAAAAAAAAAGAAAAACCAAATATATATATATATTACGTACTATTTATTGGCAGTGCCTTGTGTGTTGTGTGTTAAACGAAAACAATTGAAAACTGCGAACTGCATAAATTGTTGCAATCGTGCTGCTCGCCAATTTGCGACGGCAAAAGTTTTGTGACCTTTTTACGAAAGGAAATTGCATTTTGCATTTTGCAGTTTGCACTTTCGAATTTGCAATTTCGGCATTTTGACAATTTTGTCGATTTGTGTGAGGCCCACAGAATTTTGTGCTTAAATGTTGAAGCGACTGTTAAGCTTTTAGTCAATTGGTGAGTTCAGTTGTGGTTTAAATAAGGAACAGGATTAAATGTTTAAATATAATAAATAATCAAATTGAAATATGCCTGAATCGTGTTTTATACTAGCCTTTGGCTAATGCTTATAATTATTTTTTTATGATAAATGGAAGAATAATTGATGTCCAAGAGTATAGATACATAAACTTCTGCTTTGGCCGACTGTTAGGTTAAGCAATTCATAAATTTAATAAAAACAATTTAAGCTGAGAACAATAATATAATAGTATAAAATGCATTTAAAGCACTTTCTTTTATACTATAAATTGTTACCCAAAACATGAACTCAGTTCCCTTGACCAAATTTTGTTAAATTCAAAAGATTTCCAATTTTTTGAAAACATAAAAATTATTTAACCACTCAAAGCACATCACACAGCGAAGTGCAAACTAACTGCAGACCGCTTGGCAGCTGTCTAACAATCAGTTTCAAGATAACTGTCAAACGGCCAAGTTCTTCCGGCTGTGGTTGGACTTGACTTGATTCGCAGTTGCTGCAAACGTGCGCAAAAAAAAAAAAAAGAGCCCGACCAAGACCCAGACCCCGAGCCAGACTCAGATACATGCAAGTTACCACTAATACCAAAAACCAGTAATCACAGACATATGTACATGGCTCATACGAGCCATAATCGTCAGCTTCCTTTTGGCCAGCGCCATGGCGCTGCTTCCTGCACGACACTGAGGCCAACAACCACAACAACATCAACAACAACAGCAGCAGCAACAACAGCAGTAATAACCAATTCTAGAGCTATGCAATGGCAAGCTGCAGTTGGCATCTCTTCATGCAGGCTGCTGTCTAATATAATTTTGAAATAACTCAACTAAGCAGCGCTCGGCATGGCGGAAGATGAGATCCAGACTTGACCAAGTGGCCCATCGAAATGCCAAAACCAAGTTAGAAACAAAATAATTGCAATCCACAGTTGCCAGTCGCCAGTCGCCAGGCGGTCGTCTCATTCAGCCTGAGCCAAGCCAAACCAAAACTAACCAACGAGACAGCAACAACAACAACAACAACAACAATAACAACAAAGGAACCACAACAACAACAACAACGTGGAAAAAAGGGATAAGCCGGAAAGCAACACGGAACCCAAATTAATACAATAATTGAAGCCAATTTAGTATAATTTTCTTCAATTTCATTGTTGTTGTTTTTGGTCTGTTGTTGTTATTGTTGTTTATGTTGTTGCTGGCTTTGCTGTTGTTTGTTGCTGTTGGTTTTTACTGTCTAGCCAACTATTATCGCATTTGTTTGGCATTTGGTCGCTCCACCTTCCTGTTAGCCTCCCCCCCTCTATGCTGTGCCTTGTAATCTGTTTTAAAATAACTTGAACTTAATTTTCCACGCATGCCTTGTAAACTTCTCCAAGCCAGACTCGGTCTCAATTGCCGCTTAACTACACCCAAAGTTTATTTAAACATTCTAAATATCTCTTTCAATTGCTTGAACTAACATTTTATTAGCCAGTCCGCAGACTCTCTCGTTAGCTAATTACTTTAAGCCAGGCAAACCTAAGCATTGCCTTGACCAAAATCTTGAGCCAGAGCTGCACTTGGCATTGGTCAGGGGAAAGTGCCAGTTGCCCACTCGGGCCTTTCACAAGAGCTTAAGCGCATTCGCATCGGGGCTTATCGCTGCATTAGACCATAAAAAGCCAGGCTAGTAAAGCGACAGGGGCTTATATAAGCTTTGGCTCTATTTTTAATAACAACATTAAGCTTTTGGGCCAAAACTCCTTTCGAACTCTTAATGGAAATACTATTATTATGCCAAAAGGAAAATTATTGACATTTAAACTGAAAGGAATTTAAAAAATATTTATAAAAGACTCGTTAAAGGTAGACAATTTTAGCTACCAAACTCTTTCATTGCTGTTAACAAGATGAAAGTGAGAGCCACTTAACAGATTTATGTTATAGCTAACAGAGTCAATTTCTATATGCAAAATCTAATTACATAAAATGAGTGTAAAAAAAATTTTTGATAATGTCTCGCAGTGCCAAAAAGTATTATGGCAAACGCAAGTATTAATAAAAACAGAAATTAAAAATTGTGTTTTTCATTTTTTTTCCGGAATTTTCGTCCATTTTTTTCATTTTTCATTTATTTTTGCATTTTACATTTTGCGAAAATTGTTTTCATTTATGTTTGAGTTTTTCTTTGCTGCTGTTGTAAGTTGTAATTTGAAAAACATCACCGCAAACTGTCAAAATGCACTGACATTTACAAATTATTTTGCTGGCAGCAGCCATGGGGTGCCGGTGGTGCCGGTGGAGCAGTGGTGCACTTGCCGCACTCCGCCGCCGCCGGGCGAGCAACCGACCAACCGACCAACCGACAAACTGACAAACCGACCAACCCATTGGCAGCAGTTGGGGCCGTTTGACGCTTTGAAATGCGAAATGGAAGCGGTCACCGTTAATTTGCGTCAACGGGCTAATAAAGTTTCGTGTCGCCTTTTTGCTTTTGATTTTGCTTTTTGGCGTTTGGCATTTGGTATGTTGGCAACAAAGTTGGCTAATGCACTCGCCGCCATATCTCGGCGACCGCATCTGGCATACGCTGGTCAGTTGTATCTGTATCTGCAAATTGCATGCCGGCCAAATAGCAAATTAGCAAAGGCAATCACAAAACATATGAACAACTGACATTTCAATAGCAAAACATAAAACCAAAAAAAAAAGTAAAAAAGAAACTCTACAGAGTAAAAATCCGCTCTATCTAGTCAACTGGACGTTGCGCCGCGCATCTGCATCTTCAACTTTGTATCTCCCTTTGGCTCTTTATGAAATTCCGATTGCCCATTAATTACTTTTGATTGAGCACCTGAGCTGCTGCTGCTTGCTGCTGCTCGCTCGCTTGCTTGCAACAAAGTATCAATGAACCTTCCTTGCGCCGCGGGCAATGCAACCGAATAAGTGAGGATCGTTTGTCGCTGTTGCCTTCGTTGGGGTTTCTTTTCCAGCTCGCAGTTGCGCAAGGTGCAAACTGGCTGCATAGATTGGCCCTACCTGTGCCCACAGCTGCCTGCCTGGTTTATTGGTCTGCGTGTCTAGGAGTGGCCGCGCCTAATAGCTGAAGAACACACCGCATAGGCAGCGTATATGTAGAAGCAGAATTCTAGGCACGGACAGTGCGGGGTTGAGGGTAAAAAATGAATTATGATTTGACGGTAGGCATTTAATGGATGGCCATGGATCTTTGACTCGAACAAAATTCTCGTTTGGCGCCAACATATTGACAGCTGTACACATGTGTGTGTGTGTGTGTGAGTGTGTGTGCCTGTGTGAGAAGTTGTTCTGCTGGACAGGTGAATGCCATTTAGTTAGAATGCCTTTTTGTCTGTCCGTCCGTCTGTTAGGTTTTTGTTTCTTTTGTATTTTCTAATTGAATTCAGTTGGCAGCGCGACAGCGTCGCATCGCATTTTGACGTGCCGTGAAAGGCCATCGATGAGGAAGTGCACTGCACCACAATCCGCTCTAAGCAGCCACTGAAAAGCATTCGAAATTGGAGCATGACAGCTCCGCTCACGTGTGGTGTTTGGAGTTTTTGAGTTTTAGTTTTCGGCACTTGATGGATAGGTGTTGCTTAGTGGTTGACCTGATGGCTGTTGATGGCTGCGATATGCGGGGCGTGACCTCATCACGGCCGCCCTCTTTCCGGGGCATGCAAGCCAAAGGTGAAAGATACTTTGTGGCATGTGTCGTATGAGTGCGTATCAAAAATGTAGCTGGAATAAACTAAGCAGTCGGTTGTCAACGATCATGCTCGGTGCTTAAATTTGATGTACAAGAAACTTGAAGTGCACAACATATTAGCTCTGCCAATTAGCCGCAACATAATGATTCTGTGTTTGCTGGTAAATGGCCGTCTCATAGCCGTGATCCTTTAGTGCTCAACCTCAACCTGGGCCACTTGCTAACGCCCACACAATGGCACAACTCACAGAGCAATCGCATGGGCGTTGCAGCGGCCGCAAACAGCGACAACAATAATAACATCATGTTGCGGCATTGCTATAAAAACGTTAAAAACCCTAAGCAGTTCAAAAACACATCTCGCAATTTAATGGCTCAAAAACACGGCCAGCTAACTGGTAACTGGTAACTGGAAACACAACCGCCCACCGTTGGGGCCTTATAAACAATGCCGATGCATAAATTTGAAGCCGCAAAGATCGCTAAAGGAGACGAACTGAAAAACTCATTAGGCGCATCGCCTACTATATATAAATGCAATAATATTGTAGAAAATTACGACCCTAATAACATAAATTTCACAGACAGGTCACAGGCGGGGCAGACGCGAACGCAGTCGTTGGCGAACTATGCGGTTTTCTATCTATGAGATACGCATTGCGTAAAAGTTCATTATGTAAAAGGAGTTGCCGTTTTTATCGAAACTTATGGCCCAGAAATATGCGTCAAATAGCGTCATAAACATAAACTAGGCGAATTAATTGAGATGGCCGAGGGAAGATCCCTGTGCCCCTTGAGAGCCGCTCATAAAGCCAACAAATTATGCATTTTTAAGGCGAATGTTGCACCTGCAACAGCCGCTGCCGCAGCCGCAGTCGATGTCGATGTCGATGTCGCATTAGAGCCGCATTTGGTCAAAAGCGACGATTCGTGCCATCCAGTTGGCTCAGTTGGCTACCTGGCCGGCCGGGTCTAATTGAGTTTTGAGAGTCGTTACACTTCATCGCAATGGGAGTAAATTAAACTGTCATTAGTTTACCCTTTGGCACTTTTGTCGCCCCCGTTCCTCGCCAAGTTGCGAACCCGATCCAAACGATCTCAACATGTGAAGTGGCGCATTATTTTGTGTTTTTCTTCTTCTTTTCCTTTGCAGCCGTAATAATTTTGTAGGTTTTACGAGTGCCGCCAAGACAATTAGGCATTTGTTGAATTGTTGTTGCACACACACAGGCACACCAACACACACACACACACACATATGGCCAAGTGTGGGCATTTTGTTTAGCGGCATTTGACGCTTTGATGTGCGCAACTAAAAAACGCGCGCGAGACGCGCGACTCGCGAGCCCGAATCGAATCTAACGCCTTTTCAAAATTTTGTTAGCTACATGGCTTTTAGCTTTTCGCCGTGTTGTTGTTGTTGTTTTTTGTACCATGCTGAAGATTTATTTTTCCATTATAGTGTGCCGACATCGACAGCATTGTGGGTGTCTGTGCCTTGACACAAGCCGTGAGGCCATGACGTGCACAAAACAAAAGCAACAACAACAGCAGCAGAAAGGTTGGCCTTTTTCTGAAGCTCTGTTCAGATATAATGATTTTCAATTTTAGGCTGTTTTTGGAAAGAATCTGAAAGTAGAAAACTTCAAAGAAATGCTTATGCAAAAACTAAGCGAAGTTGTGCACAAGACACAAGTGCGACATGCTTGATTTTTCCCCAGTTTTTGACTTTTAAATTGAAAACTTTTTAACATGCAACCGATTTATCAATTTTTTGAATCGTTTTCAGTGTCAGTTTTTGACAGCTTTGAAATGTACATTTAAATATTATTTAAAGCATATGTATTTTTTCGCTTGAGTTTCAATTAGTTTCATTATTTTAGAGTCCATTGTTCGAGCGATTTGTGCGCGTTTCAACTGCGATTTGAAGCGCAGCGAATTCTGTCCGCTTTCGCATCTATTAAGTTTCAGTTTTATTTCGGCCTGTGGCCAATGCATAAATTGACCAACACACCAACTCAGCAACTATAAAAATACAAAAAACTGACAAGCTGAGAAATTCAATAGCCCAGATCACACAAATCCGCCACAGTTTATTGCACCTGCTAAAAAAATAAAAGACAGAAATATAAAAAAAATAATCACGTAATGTGTGTGAGTGTGTCTGTTTATTTTATTTTTTTTATGGCTAGCTAAAAGTTATAAAAACCACTTTTTAATTCGAATGCGCTACAAAATGTTATGGACCATCAAATATTTTGCATAATTTGCATAAACTGTCCGGGCACGTGTCACCGATTCGCCAAACACACAAATAGAATCAAAACCCAAGTTTGTAAAATTTAATTGTTTAAAAAAAAGCAAACTATTTATAAAGGTTGAAGAGTAAAACTAATATGACTACTTTGCGCAGAGCTACCAAAATGCAACCAACAATTTTTATATATATTTTTAAATATATTTTAACTGTGGATTTGAGCAGCGGCAGATAAAACAGAAAAGACTCATTCGCTTTTTGGCTTACCTTTGTTGTTAATGATTCACTTGCCTCACACTGTTGTTGCCATTGTTGTTGTTGCTGCTGCTGCTGTTGTTGTTGTTGTTGTTGTTGCTGTTAATGACTTGACAGTAAAGTAGCCTACACAATTTATGGCAAACTTGTCCGCCTACAATCAGTTTTCATTCAGTTCTATCTGTGTGTGTGTGTTTGTGTGCGTTTTAATGCCTTCGTCTAGTTTGGTTTTTTAATTGAAACATTTTTGACCATATTTTCTTAATGATCTGACATGACATGGCGTCTGTTTTGTGTGTGTTAGCTTTAGAAATTTTGTCTTAGCTTTAGAAATTCAGCGTTATTTTGGCTAATTTAATACAAAAAACTAAAACACAAAAAGGGGGGGCTGCTGTCCTGCCATATGACTTCCTATATATATAATACTACTCATATAGCTTGTATTCAGCACACACATACACAGATATATCATTATTATAATTTGTACATTGTGTTCTCCACTCTGTTTATTGCAGTCGCCTTCAGAGAGGCAACGCCAACGCCTTTGGGCCACAAGCTGCAAATGCTGGGTAAGTTTTCATTATTGTTGTCTTCATGTTTGCTATTATTCGGACATGTTGTTGTTATTGCTGTTGCTGTTGCTGTTGCCAAGCACTTTTATAGTCACTTGTCGTTAAAAAATATGTGTTGAAAATGTTTTTTATGACACGAAATGAGCAGGGCCATAAAATTGAGCCGAGTGAGCAATATAACGATGTGCCTTGCGGCCTGTTGAATTCACTAAATGCCATTTGCATTTCGTATGCAATAACTGTCGGACACTGAACTGCAATGAGAGCTTACATATGCCATAAAAAAGGAGCAGAGGCTAATTTCCGTTCAACACTAAAAATGCACATCAAAAACGCACATATCTTTCAAAGAATCTGCGTTTCGCAGCAATCAAATCAAATACGTGCTAAATATTAAAAGCCGTGTAATTAGAGCTAAAGAGGCAGGCTGCCAAAGTTAGTTTTTTGTTAGATTTGGGCGGCAAAATGTGGCAAAGAATATTATTTTTATACTATGATAAAGGTTTTGGTCTATCAATTTTTTTTAAGCTTTTTTTTAAAGAAGTCATACACGCTTTATATATATTTTTTAATTAATTTTTTTATGAAATGCCGACATTTAAAAGACAGAAGAAACAGAAATAAACGGTAGTCAGATTGGCACCTGTATTACGTAAATTACAATAATTACAAATATGAAAAGATACTTAAAATTCTGCTATTAAAAACATGCTAATAACATTAAATTTTGATCTGAGCTGAGCTTGAGTAACCTTTGAAAATACCTGCAAGGGATCAAGGTACAAGCACGCCCGCTCGAAAACCTTGCTAAGCTATTCTTTTACCAATTTTAAAAGGCAGATAAACAGATAACGATAAGCATAATGGCAACTAATTGAATTGATTTATGCATGTCGCGCATTTTAATGAAGTATTTTCCCTGCGTTGTTGCTGCTGGGACCGCTTCGCATTTGATTAATTTGAATTTATTTGGTTTCGATATTTGTTGCCATAGCATAATTTTCGTTTTCTGCTCTATCAATTTCAATAATAGCACATTATACATAAGTTTCGACTGCGTTGTTCGTTGTCTGTTTTGTGTCCACACTTGCTATTATTTATTTATTTATGCATATAGTCAAAGAGCTGTGGCCTCTTAGTTGTTGGCTGTTAAAACTGCCAGCCGAGAGCTAAGCAAACTCATAACCAAACCGGGCAGTTGTGCGGGGTTCAGGAGCGCTGCCCACGAGGAAGAGGAGGCGTCATTGATTTATGCCTGGCATTTTTTATGGCCATTTTGTTTGTAATTTATTAACAAGCTTGTTAACAACGTCGTCTGGCCAATATGCAGATGCAGATACAAAGCTTACCAACTTACTGTGCGCACTACAAGCCTGCGCCTGACCAGTTCGCAGAGGTTAAAGGCCATTACGGCAGCCAGGCAGCCAGGCAGCCGGGCAGCCATGCAGCTAGGCAGCTTGGATGCACAACAGCAGGTGGCTTTTAGGATCGTAAGCATGTTTATAGAAAGTTTTTTTATTTTTGCCAAAAGGCTTGCATTATGCACACACACACGCGCGCAGAAGTAAAACAAGAGCCCGCGCTCTTAAATATTTAATCACGAAACAAAAAGTAATAAACAAAAAGAAACTTCAACCTGTAGTTCTTCAGTTCGATTCTCCACATGCACATGATTTGTTTGCCGAAGCGCGCGCGGTAGCCAAGTGGACAAGTGTCGGCCGGGCCGTTGGAGCTGTTGCTCAAATATTCTAAATATTTGCTAAATAATAGAGAAGACAGCAGCAATCGGAGTCGAACCGGTGGCCGATGGCAAAAGACTTGGCCCGGCCCAACAGTGTAGGCAGCCAAGCGTAGACCCAGGCACAAGCACAAGCACAGGCCCAGACCCAGGCCCAGACAGAGGCCGCTGGCTCATAGCTAATGGCAGTTGCTTTTGCCGTTTAAATAGCGGCTACTATTTGCGTAGTAAAGTGTACCCAACTGACGAAATGACGAACTGACGGCCCAACTCAATGACTGCCTGTCAAATAGGCACACACACACACACACACACACACAATCCACACACAACTGAATCTATGGCCAGAAGTAACGTCGGGCACTCGATGCGAGCTGGCAACGTCAATTGAAGTCGTCGGCTTTGTCGTCATCATCACCGGACATTTTGTGTTGGACAGCTGACAGAGACAGCTCCGAGAGTTTATTTTTTCGTTTGTTATTTTTTTTTTTGTGCCCGTCACAGACACTTTAATATTTGAATTTGTTTGAGCCATTGATATGAGCTCTTGCCAAGTTTCAAGAATGTCAATGAGGCATTTGGCCAAACATAATTGAGGCTTACTAGAGAGCAGTCCATAACGCCAGCTGAGTAACTGATTTATCTGTGCAACAATCTAATTTCAATTGTGCGCCTGAATGACTTTAAGCCAAACAGCACCAAGCAAGACTTGGACTCCAACTGCTTGGAGCCCAGTTTAGCTGCGGAGCTGTGGAACAGCTGAGAGCTGTGTCAGCGGCAGCGCCAAGTTGTCAACTTAATTTACAGCTAACATGTGAGCTACAAGTTCGCGGCGATTGAGCAAGCGATAAAAAGTATTAATTTCATAGCTCTATGCAATTAACATAAATTGGACAAACGGACAGACGGGCGTACCGGCGTACCGGCTCCTATGCAAATACTTATAAATATGCAAATAGTTCAGATTACAAACAGGCGAGCTTTAGAATGCAATGCCTCGATCTGGCCAGATATCGTAGATACTCACTCGCCTATCAATTGGCAATTTCTGTTATTGATACACAGTTTTATGTGACCGGCACAAGTGTCGACATTTGGCTGACAAATGTGCTGATGTGTTTGACTAAATGGCAGACCAGACACTTGCCAAAGGGGCGATCGTCTGGTCATATATGGCTCATATGATCTGGGTATCATCAATTGGCAGACTGCAGCAGCCGCCATTCAATCGTATAATTTGCATAATTGGAGATGAGTTTGAAATGCCAGCCAAGCCATAAAAACTAAAGGTTAGCACATTGAGACCATAATATATAAGATTATGCAGTACGGTGAATGGAGTTTAATATAGAATTCAAGATTCGAACCTTAAAGCAGGTTCGGACAAAATCAGATATGGTTATTCTATAAGAATATATTCATTTAACATTCTTACTGTAATAAACATGTCGACATTTTAATACACAAGACGCTCATAAATAAGTTTTATCGTATTTATATTAAAACGAAATAATATATTGTTAGACGTTTTCAAGTAACAAAAGCCGCACAAGGCAACAACGACCATTTACTCTAAATTCAAGTCAAACTTCAGCAAAGAGATCGACCTTAAGGTTCTCTGTACCAAATCCAAGATATTCCTCTAGTTTTAAAGACCCTTGAGCTCGTATCAAATCGACTTTCAGAGCTTATATAAGAGTACCTGACAATTGAAAGCTGCGCCTATCTCCTTTAGCTACACTTGCTCAACAATACAGGGTATATCAGTGTACGCATCGCACTCGAGCTGCGACGTTGCAGAGCAACAACAATCGATAAACAATTTCAATAAATCGTGCTGGTATCATAAAAGTAAATTAAATGCTTTTGTAGCCGCTCCTGTCGAGTTGTGTCTCAATTTGCCGGACCGGTCAAAAGTGGCCAGCACAGTTCCAGCTCCAGTTCCAGCTCCAGTGCCTCTGGCCAGTGGCCAGATCTGATGAGGTGCCGCAATATGCGTAAGTTAAATGCGCAGACGTGGCCCAAGGAGCAGCAACAACGAACAACAACTTGGGCACCTCACGCAATTACGTGGAAGTTGCCATCGAAAAAACAAAAACAAGAGTGGCTAACTCTGGCAAGTCGACCAATAAATACCCTTGCTTGAAACGATTTTTAAGAGACAGACAAGTCGAAGTTATGCGCTTCTGTGCGTCACAAACTTCGTGGCACTATCATTAATACCCTCTGCAAGCAGAGAAAAGACAAAGGCTTCTGCGAACTTTCCACATTTTGCCTTTTAAGCAGCCTCGAGGGCTACCCTTTCTTGGGCGTCAATGAAATGCAAATGTTTAGCTGGCCGTTGTTGTTGTAGTTGTTGTTGCTGTTGTTCGGCTGCTTATCAATAATCTATTGGCCCAAAACGTTGAGCAGATAAGCAGCGGCCTTTCTCTTGTTGGATGTGTCCTGCGCCTATTAAGCCATAAAACGCATGCAAATGAAGGCGTTGAAATGCGCATACAACAAAAGTCTGAGCCAGATACTGAACTGAACTGGTCTGGTCGGGCCCTAAAAGTTGAGGCGTTTTTCGCCTGCTTAAAGGGCGCAACAACTAACGCGCTTGTGCTGCAGATGAGCGAATGAAGGGGCAGCTGTCTGCAGTGGCAGAGGCAATGGCAGTCGCAGTGGCAGTAACAGTGGCGGTGGCAGCTTTGCTGGGGGTAAGTCGCAGTCACAGCAGCTAAAACGAGCACCGGCTGACTGGCAATTAATTATGGCTCAGTGTTGGGACAGTGGCTGGCATATGTTTATTTACTTAATTTACTTAATGACACACATACAGAGCAGAGCAGAGCAGCAAAAAGATGGGCACGAGTCGGCGCACATTTTGGGTGAGGTCATCGTCGTTCTATAAAGGCATGTATCTATGTGCCTGTAAGTGTGTGTGTGTGTATGTGTGTGTGTGTCTAATAAATAACATTATTAATTACCAGTGCAATTAACTATAAGTACACCAGCACCACACACACACACACGCACACAGACACAGCTGGACGCCCACAAGACGACAACTTTGAAGACGACGCCTCGACTTCGATTTCGGTTCCATGAATCTACAGATACATAGATACTTATATACATCTTATAGATACACACAGACACATGCTACGCTGCACTTTGTGACCCAATTTGAATTATTTTTTCATAAGTTTCTCGCAGTTATTAAAGCGAATTCTGTTTTTACAACGCTTGTTAGGCATTCAGAGTTTCTGCTATTAATGGATCATTTGGTCGCATATTGAGTGATATATGAATGCATTAATCTTAGTTTATGTTTATTGCCATATGTTATGGCCGTGTGGGTATCGAGTTGTATGCAAATCGTGCAACGTGAGACCTTATTAAAACCACAAATAAGGCATAAAGATCCAGAGATGACAATTTATGTGAGCTATGTACGACTTTATGACTGTTTTATAAAATGATCCAATCGGATAAATAAAAATAGATATATTCAACGATCCGTTTATTACCAGTCAGTCGCAAGCTATCATAAATGATCATAATGCATTTGGGATATAAATTAGGCATAAAAATGCATTTATAAAAAATCATATATAAAGTATACATAGAATGATTTATGTCATTAACATAAACAAGTTGGTGTGCTTCAGAGGCAAGTGCATAAATGCAGTCTTTTGAAATCTTCAGGGCCCAATTAGTTTGATGAATTTAGGGGGAAATCGAGGACAATAATCATAAAATTTAATACTCTTTATCTGAACATAGTATAGTATACTCTTATAATCTTCGAGTTATGCTTACAAAACCATGTCTTATGATCGATATTTATCGATGTGAGAGGCGATATTGAAATATAGTGAAAAACTTGTTACCCGAGTATATATTTTTAATTTTAAGTCTCTGGCTTTTGAATTTTCCGCGATAGACGTGTTCACACAGTCACACAGACCGACAGACAGGCGTACATGATCGGCCTGATCATATGAGAATTATACCCTTCTTTTAGGGTTGAAAGCAACGATGCTAGACACAAAAATTATACCTAAGATAATGTGAAGTATTTAAATAAATAATAAATACATAAATTAAGTGTTCAAATTGAAATGTGCCACATTTAAAACGTTTGCATGGGTAGATATTTCTTAGAAGATTATTTTTATATACACACATGTACTAATTTTACTGTCTGCTGTTCTAAAAACTTTTCTTCATTAATCTTCTCACTTTTCTCTTGTTTCTTGTTATGCTAAAAATATTGAAACTGTCAAGTGCATAATCATTTGCCCAACAACAGCAAAAACAAGAAGAACAACTACAATGGCATCAAGTGAACGCCAAAATTACAGAGCAACTAAAAATGTTTCAAGCATTTAACCCGAACTGCATGGTAAAACTTGCCCGCTTCTCTCGTCTGTTTAAACTTTGTTGACTTGTCAACCCGCCTGCTCATCTGCCCCGTCGTCTGCTTCTGCTGCTGCTGCTGCTGGCTGTGTCACAGCGCTTAATCTTTATTAATTACAGTGGAATAATAAGGCAGCAACAGCAGCAACAGAGGAGAGATAGATGGGAGCTAGAGCTGCTCGTGGGCATGGCGCATAGTTTGGCAGCCAGACAGGCAGAGCCCATAGCCACGTCCAACCCCAGCCCAGGCCCACCAACTGATTAATGCCGCAGCCAAAGAGCCAACAAGCAAATATGCCACATGCAACAGCAACAGCAGCAGCAGCAGCAGCAACAGCACCAACTTTGATGGTTAGGAATTTAAGCAGCGCGAAGGGTTTTTGGTTTTGGTTTTTAGGTTTCAGTTTTGGTTCTGTGTGTTGGCTTTGCTTTTGGCTTGGGGATCTGGCTCTTGCTTTGGTAGCAAGTGCGTTGTAGTTGCGCTCTCTGGCGTGGCGGCGCATTCATCAACGTCGGCGTCAACAAATGCCCTCCACATGCAAAACAAGACTCCAAACTGCGCGCTGCCAAATGCACAGCGGCGCAGTCAGCCATAGAATGGGAATGGGAATTTGAATGGGAACGGGAATGGGTCTGAAAAGCATATAAAAGGCGGTGAGGCTAAATTAGATAGTAGAGAGCATAGTAGCTATAAAAACCATTTGATCCTTTGTGCGCGCCGGCACCGCCTCTCTATATCTGTATCTGTGTGTGTGTGTGTGTGTCGACCTTTTTTTACGAGCTGCGCCCGTCGCCTAATTACGCCTCTATTTTGGGCTAATCAGCAGCAGCGTTGACCCCGACTCCACTGTTACCGGCTAAGAGACAAGGGTCAGCTGCGCGTCATGTAAATGAAGTTGCTTTGCGTTTTGGGCCTGGACCCAGCAGCAGCAGCAGCAGCAGCTGTGCGGGAATTGAGTTGAGGGGCATTTTGTAAGGGCTTTGCCTATGCTTCGAATACCCATTTGGCTGTCAATCAGTTTTGGGTGCTGTGCAAATATTTGTCAAATTCTGCGGCCGTTTGCATATTTGCACTTCAGCTAAGTGCAACGTTAATGCAATTGAGATAACTGAGAGACAACTCAGGGAGAGCAATTATATATGCGCATAACTGTTAATAATCATTGAATCAATATGCTGACAATTTTCTCACGCACAGAGATACAAACGGAGCCGCATATTCAAATGAGATGCGACCGTCTCATCCCGGGCACAGGCCAGGACAATGACATCAGCTCAAGGGGGTTCAGCTCGAGCGAAGAAAGTCAACGAGTCGAGCAGGCGGAGGGCTTACAAGGGGTCGATTTGTGTCGGTGCGCCGAATTTTAACTAAGACCATGCAAACCAGCCAAATATGAAAGGGCTCTCTGCCCGAACCGAGCGTCCCCGTGATGTGGCTGTTGATGCTGATGCCAGAAAAAAGGATTTGTAATTTGAATTTTAAATAGCAGCCGCCGCGACAGGAGCAAAAGTCGTAGCAGCAGCAGAAGCAGCCGCAGCCGCTGTTTATTGTATTTACTGCTGAATTAATTTCTACTTTTATTTTCATTTCTTTTCCATTTTCTGTGCATCGATTTGTAAAGGAAATCGCAGAATCAGAACCAAGCCAGGGTCCCAACTCTTTCATGCTCTGCTGTTTGCTTAGGTTTCTCTATTAAAAGCAAAACCTTTTTTCTTGGGTTTTCTTAAAAGTTTTTGACGGACGCAGTCATATGTAAATACATTTGCTCAAGAAAAAACTGAAAAAGGAAGCTAGCCGAAAAGGGGTGTGGTGAGCCCAAAAAACAGGCAGCTGCTAGTTCAAATTTCAATTAATTTTTTCTACCATTTCTTGGGATTTCATCAGTTTTGGCTGTGAAAAAAAGGCGTTACTAACGGTCATGAAACCATTTTAGAAACCATTGCAAAGGCAAAAACATTCTAAGTGCATTCTAAGCTCTGGCAAAAGAATCAATTTAGCTCTGGCCCACAAGTAGACAACGCCCAGGTCCTGCTGCACGCAAAGCCCCACCCGAAATGCGTCTGTCCTTTTGGCAAGCGTTGATTGCTTCAATGGTAGAATGTTCAATTGCAGCAATAATATTGCAACTGACATCGATATGTGCCATTTGATTTGCATAATTCTAGCAGACAGCACAGCACAGGTCGATATAGGGGACCGAAGACTGCGGGGAGGGATGCCTAACCCTTGCCGCACAGCCCTGTGTGCCATGTGAGCCCTGCCCACAGAGAGAGAGAGAGAGAGAGAGAGATAGAAAAAAACCCAACTTGCAAAATATTGACAGGCAGGACATGCCGAACGTCCTGTGCACAGGGACCAGGGACTGTGAGCCGCTTAAGCTGGCAACGGGCGCGCCCCTTTCGCTGCCTCGCTGTCTGTTTGTATTTTTGCAAATTCATCGATAATTGGCAATTTGAAATGGCAACATCAACAAGAAGAGACAAACGGCAAACAGCAGACAGTAGACAAAGGCGCGACGTGGCAAGCAGGGGTTGCTTTTGACTCTTTGACTTTGGCACATTGCCCTCAGGTCTGCCCCTCCGGCTACCCTTCGAGCGAAAAAACAAAAAACATATCGGCTTATGTCAAGGGCGCATTGCATTTTGGCAACAAACCTCTCATAATGCCAAGCTGATAATAACCTAATGACATTTTAATTGCACACAACAAGTTAATTAAATTCATTGTGTTTATTTTCGAGCCGCCAGTCAAAACCAATTCCAATCAATGCCAAATTTGATAACTTGTTGACTTGATGGCCAAACCGTTGCCAAAAATGTGGTTTTGTTATGCCATATTGTGATTGTCTGCACGGTGGCATCAATTAACGTCGCGCATTTAATGGCCAAACAAAAGAACTATAGAAATTATAAAAAAAATGCATATAAAAGAGCGAGACAAGCCGCGTCAAGCTGAGGCGAGTAAAGACTTTCAGCACAAACCCAGTTTGGCCTTAAACAAATATATGTAAATCTTTTCATAATTAATTTACAACACGGAAATTGGGCCCGATATTAATGGATGCTCAATTGCAGTTTGAAGTTAGATGAGGAGCAATTAAACCACAAATAGCATCTTTCAAAACGGGTCTCTTATATGCAGTCTTCACTGTATATTGCTGTATTGTTTCTTCTTTCAACAATGCGGAGCCAGAAACTATTAAAGTGGTTCCGAAACGTTAACACAACAGACAAATTAATAGCCCACGTCTTGATGCCAAATGAAATCGATTTGTCTAACAATTCATAGTTGTTTTTTTTCTTCCTATTTTTTGCTTGCTACCTCGTAAGTTTGTTTGAACATTACTTTCAGTCATGATAGATACATATAAATCCATATATCTTTACGTATTCGAGGTTATATAGAACCCAAACTATTTGCTCGTTTTAGTCTCTATGAAGCATACTTGACTTTAACATATAGAAATCTATCTAACGAAATTCAATCGTTCTGCTTACATTTCAGCTGACTGGCACATTTCTCTCAAATTTACCAAAAAGGTAAGCAAAATTACAACTTGGTAACATGCCAAAGAAAAAGAACAAGGGCCCCAATGCCCCAAGTGGCAATAACAAAGAGAACAAATACATTGCAACTTTTACTTGGGCGCTTCGAGGCAAGTCGCCAGTCTTGGACTCGGGTCTATGTCTCGGCAAAACTCTTTCAAGTTTTTTTGACAGCTGCTGTCAAATGTTGAAAGCCAGCCAGCCCCATACACCATGCACAGAACCATACAGAAAACCAAAACAAGCCAGAGTCAGCCATGGCCTAAAGTGCCCCCAAAGTCCCTCATTCGTCGCATATCAGCGAACATCTCTATACATATGTATATACATGATATACGTACACATTCTTGTAGCCTTGCTTCGCTCTTTAACTCTCTAAGCAAAGTTTTCAAAACTAAAACAACAACAAAAAAAAAACAGAAACAAAAAAAACGTAAAACAATAAAAAGCATTTTATAGTTTTCATGCACGAAGTCCACGAAATGAAAAATTCAACAATTTAAACTGACATTTAAATTGATAGTTCAAGAGATGCACACGACAGATATCAGAGAGAAGAAAAAAAAAACGGCGAGAGAGAAAACAGAGAAGTACATATGATGCTATAGAGGCGTGGCAGATGGGGCAAACACACACACGCACACAGATAGCCAGACACATATGCTCTGCATGCTGCAATGGGTGACGTACTACAACTTGTTGTTGTTCTTGTTATTGTTATTGTTGTAGTTGCGGCTGCTGCGGCTTTTGGCGGCTGATGATGTTGCTGATGTATGCTAAGGTCTTGTTGTTGCCAGCCCAATAGCATTCACAACCATTAAAATATTTCAACTAAAGTTGCAGTTGCTGTCGGAAATAATCGGAAGACAAAAAGGATGTGCGTAGATGTCCTACATTGTTATTTCATTTGGCAGGCTGAGATAGAGAGTGAGAGAGAGGGTAAAGAGCGAGATACACTACGCGAGAGCTTCTAGAGATATTAAAATCATATTCTGAACTTAAGGCCTTAGCCTAAAAATGGCAGAGTCTATAAATCGGAAGACGAAAAGGATGTGCGAAGTTGTTCAACACTTATTCAACTTTGCACTCTGCGATAGAGATGGAGTGAGATAGAAAAAGAGAGAGAGAGAGATAGAGAGAAATACACTACGTGAAAGCTTATAGAGATATTAAAACCATATTATTCTGAACCTTAAAATGGCAGTCTATATATCGGAAATAATCAGAAGACAGAAAGGATGTGCGATGATGTGCGACTTTGCATGCTGAGATAGAGATAAAGATAGAGATAGAGAGAATAGAGAGGGAGAGAGCGCTGGAGACGAGGTACAGATATAGAGACAGCGAGAGAACTAGAGATATACTTCACCTCTCAGTTAAAATCATATTATTCTAAATGAAATCCATATAATCCTTTCTGTTTGATGCATTCATATACAACTGACATTTGTATAAATAGACTGTCCAAAACTGAATTGATAATTGAAAGTTTCTGAAAGCTTCAAGCGAGATTAATTGTATTTAAAATTATTAAGTAGTTTTCCATACAGATTTCAGGTTTTAAGCTCCGTCGCTATTATGTAACGTTCTATTGATTCATAGTCCAAACCTCAAAATGGCAAAGAGTCTATAAATCAATGTTGGCTGGCAACCACATTGGTCACACACACACACACACACATACAAATATACATTTATGCATAGATATGTGTATTTATAAAGCGTGTTACCAAACATATTATCTAACACATTGCGCACATATATTTCTTAAATAAACATTGCATTTCCACACTGGCATTTTCATGCATAAAACAAAACGCGAATGCGAAATAAATATATTGCAAGGTAGAGAGAGAGAAATAACGAACGACCACTCAGTGGGCAATATGCGGCCACATAAGTTCGTGTATCTATGGCTGTATCTCGCTAGCCGTATCTGTATCTGTATGTGGTATAAGCCGTGTGGCAGCAAGTATCTATATCTGCTGACAGGCTGGCAAAGCCAAGCTCAACATTGTTGTCAACAGTTTGCCGCCTTTGTCTCGTGTGCGTGTGCGCTATCAGCCAAGTTGCAGATGCAGAGATATCGGCTACTTCATGGCGCATAGTTCGGTCTCTCCACTAATCTTATAATTAGCATTCTTGGCAGATAACAACAAATGCAACTGCAGCAACAACAACAACAACAGCAACAACAACAACATGCTGCCCGCTTGGACTACAAATAACAAACACTTTGCAATTACGAGTACAACCGAATGGCTTGAGCTGGGGGCAAGTCGCGTCGAATCGACTCGAGTGGAGTCGCCTCTTAATCGGATTGCATGATAACTGCACATTAATTAAAAAAATCAACTAATACTTTTATGAAACGAAACAGTGCTAATTGAATTATTGCCGCCAGGCACTCGCTTCGTTTGCTTTCATTTCGTTTCGTTTCGTTTTCATTTCGTTTTGTTTTCTTGTGTTACAATCAGCTTGTTTAATTGGCACTTCTCTTTCACTCTCCCACTCAACCACTCTCTCTCTCTCCCTCTCTCTCTCTATATCTCGCTCTGTCTCTCTCGCGATCCGCACCGAAATTTAGAATGTACCGACTGGGAATTCCGCACCCGCAGCGACATATTGCTTACGCTTCCAGGAAGACATAAAAATGCCAGAGACTCGAGAGACTGAGAAAGTGAAACAGAACTTAGGATATACCCGCCTTCTAACGGTAACCAGCTAAAGCTTGCTCAAACCGGACCCCAGACCCAGCCGAAGTTAAATTTTACTTTTTTGGGGCAATCCATAAACCAGCAAAACAGCACGAAAACAATAGCAACAACAACAACAACAACAACAACAGCAACAGCAAAAACAACTGTCAAGCTCGGTTTTCAATTGCAACAGCGACGCTCGCATGTTCTTTTTTTCGGGATGTAATCCGAGAGCTGCCACAACAACGACAACAACAACAATTTAAAGAGGTAGCCAGATAACCCAACCATTGTCGTTGTAGTTGTTTCGGGCTTGGTCTGGGTCTGGGTCTGGGGCTGCGGGCTTAGTCACTTGGTTCTTTGCTCGCTACTTGGCCTGGTGCTCCTTTCATGGCTCGGCATATTAGTTTTCAAGTTTTACATTCACATTGTTCATTATGATGAGCCACCGAACACGAAAGAACAAAACAACAACGAGAAGCAACAACAACAACAGCAACAACAGCAACAACCGCAACAACAACAACTGCAATCGGCTGCAAAAGACGAGCCCAAAAATTGACAATGGACGTTGACGCTCAAGTATCTGCAAGTGCACGCAATGTACTTCGTTTTGTATCTTTTATATGCATGCAACGCGCTGTGGACAACACAAGAGCAGCCCAGGGCAAGGGCTAACACAGGCAACAGGGAACGGATCGGATAGGGCGGAGAGGGGCGCTGCTGACTTGAGGGCGGGTTTGAATTAGGGCGGTGTAGACATTTCAACAGCATGTCGCTTCATTTAAGTTTTTTGCATCAATGCACTCGTGACAATTTGTCATCAAAAAAACACAAAACAAGAAAAGAAATGCTATGTGTAGCCCCATATATTAAATTAATAAAAGACGTCGCTCAGTTGGCATACAATGTGTGGGTGGGTGGCACACAAATAAGAAAATAAATTATATGCGTGGAATTGCAGGTTCAGTTGAGCTAACTAACTAACTATATCCATCTATCTATAGACACAAAGTGAATCACTATGAAAAAGAAAAAATACTCTAAGCAAAAGCTCTTAAGTTGCAGCTAAAAACTTGGGAGATTAGTAATACAAAACCTTTTGCATCAACAAAATATGTATTTATAATTTCCATATAATTTTGACAGACCAGCAGGAACCACTTCAAAAATATTTATGGCCCAAATATGCAGAATCTCTGAGGCATTCATTTTTTATTATCTTCCGCAACCATTGAGTAGCTTAATGAAAGCTAAATTGCATGAATATAAAAAACCCATGTTTGGTATTAACCGGGCGACGGCCCCTCGCTGCGAGCTTGGTACAAGATTTCGAATTGAACCAAAAATGAAAGAAAATTATATATATCTATATATAAAGACAATAACAATAGCGCCAAGAAACAGCTAAATGTCAGCAGTGCCCACTTAAACTTAAACTTATGCATATTTATATAATTCATTTTTAAATACATATTTAAATTCACACAAACGGCAGACGGCGGACGGCAGACGCAGAGACAGCTCCCAAAACATACTATATTAAATATCAAGATTTTATGATGCATAATGCGAGCAGGAAGGCATGAGGGAGCCATGAGGCAGGCAAGAGGCAGGCAAGAGGCAGGCAAGAGGGAGGCATGAGGTAGGCAGCCAGCAGAGAGAAGGTGGATTTTTATTACCAATAATTTTTAAATTTGTTGCGACGAGTGCAAGCAGGCAACTCGTTATAAATATAACCACAGCTCGAAATATCTATATACATATATATAAATACACATATATGTATTGCACATACATATAAATATTGGTATATTTATAGGGTATACTCGTGTGTGCGCTGCGTGTGCAAGTGAATTGATTGTAAAGCCGCCCGAACGTCCGACGCGATTATTTACGGTTTATTTTCAACGCATCAGAAATAAATATGCGAGTAAAAAAACACACACACAGCATGAATTTCTTTTTGTTTTAAGTTGTTTTTTTTTTTAACAAAAATATTGCATACTAATTTTAATACGTAACACGCGGGCTTTGAAGGCGCATCAATCCAAAAATAGCCGCAAAGTGAAAAGATACAAAAAAAAAAAGAGAAAAAGAAAGCCAACACGAATGCAATCATTGTGGGAAATTGAGAACGGGCAGCGGCGAGTGGGCAGAGCGGTGCGTAGCATATGCGAGAGCGGGATGGGTGGACGGATGATGGGACTCCGGTGGGGCTGGGTTGCATGGCAAAAGTGTCAAGCGACGACGTAGCGTGTGTATTTTTGAATTTTTGGCAGGTGGAAGCCACGACAAGTGCCACAAGTCGGCAGCGGGAACAGCCCCAACTGCATTCATATTTCAATATTTTGTTGCTCGTTTCGTTTATTTGTTGCTTTTTCGTTGTCTATTAATAGACGGCGAGAAGCGGGTCGCGCGGACGTTGCAAATGGGCAGCATGCACGGAAAACACTGAAAATTAATTTCCACATAATTTTTACGAGCCAATTACTCATCGACACTCTTCGAAGTGTATATCCTAGGGCAGTGGATGCTACAATATCAGGTACATAAAATATTATGTATTATTTTATCTTTTTAATGCGTTTTGTTTGATTCACTCGGCATAAATGCATAAAAAGTCAAAGAATAGCGAATAAAAAACGTGTTACTGTTTCGATTCGCGGTTCGATAAAAAACATTACCTTTGGGTTCGGCTCATGGTTCGAGCCAAAGCTTAGCCCTTGGAATCTGGTTTGTCATAATCATGTGCCCAGGTTTCGATTCGAGCTTTGCCTCTTCAGCTTTTTTCATTTGCCATTCACAATAAGAAATGAAATATCTTTAAGCAAACATCTATCTTTGCTGTTCACGGATATGCGTTGTTCTATATGCAGAGTATACAGACCCAAGATATCGATGCTTTTGGACTAAGTTTCCGAACTTTACTTTAGTTTCAAACAAAATAAATAGTATTTACAAACATTTTCGTAAATTACGTAAAGTTTCCGCGAAAATTTGATCAAATAAGATCTAAAATATTAGGCACTTACTTCGTAGTATGGCAGCTAATTAACTAGATTCTCTTAGCACGTAATACCCCAGTAAATAATCGCGCACAACTGTTCTCTTTCCTTGTGTGTCATCCATATGCATATTGGATAGGATGGGGGAGGGGCAGGGGGTATTCATAGGGTATTCATATGCCCATTACTGACTACATAATTACGCAGACACGCCCCACAAAATATTCAAAAGAATAATATGCCATAAACTGCATACACTATTATCATGTGACGTGCACTGTTGGAAATATGTTGTAATTATTTGGAAATGCTTTCTAGCGATAATTGCGGGTGCCACTTTTCTCTATACATATTTATTATTATTATTCATTTTTTTTCTCGAGCTCAGTTGAGTTCCACATTTTTCTTTTTTTTTTCAGGTTCGTTTGTTCTTCAGCTGGTGTTTTTGTCAAATTATACAACATTTATCATCAATTATCGGAGTGTTGTTGTTGCCGTTGTTGTTGTTGCCGTTGTTGTTGTTGCCTGGCTGAGAAATGTTTGTACTATGCTATGTGACGCACGCGAGACTAGCTTGGTGTGTTTTGTGTGGCGACATCGTGTCATGAAATTGAATAAGCAAATGACGTGCTGAATGCCAGTTGAAACAATTCTCTATTTCTACTTTTTTTTTATCTTTAACGTGCTTGCCGTGTGTGGCATTCACCTCAGTCGGGAAACCGCAAAACGCAGTTTAAATGGGAATCGCTCTCCATACATGAATGTATGCACATATATATACATATATATATGTATGTGTAGCTGTTACAATTGTTCATGACATTTCATGCCAAAATGTGGAAAATTGTCAATTGTGGCAAAAACAAAAAACAACTATCAAACAGCCCTTATTGCAGGGCAATCGCAACTAGCTAGTACTCGAGCACGAGTCTATATAGATAGACATATAGATAGAGTATGGATGGGCCAGATATATGCATGTAGCTCTTTGTGTGTGCGGCGCACATGCTAAACGAATGTTGACAAACAATTATTATTTTATTATTATTTGTTTGTCTGGCTGTGGCCCTGCCCTACACAGCCCCTGGCCCATTCTTCTGCCACTTTCCGAGCGCCCTAATATAGACGCTTCTCTCTGTCTGTCTGTCTGTCTGTCTGACTGTCTGTCTGTTGGACTGTCTGTCATTTTGCATGACTTTCCTGCATGGCTCCACAATTGAACGTCAGTTGTCGTCAGGTCGTCTGCCTGCCTCATGCGCTCTCTCTCTCTCTCTCTGTGTCTCACTGTCTTTCTTTCTCTCTCTCTCCCTCTCCCTCCCTCTCTCTCTCTCTCTCTGAACTGAGCTCTACTATCTGGTTTTGTTTGTTTATTTGTCTAACTGCTTTTGTAATATGATTCGTTGTTATATTTGTACTGTTGATTATATTTTATTATTGTTTGTATTTTTGTTTGAACAAATTTTCACATGCAATATGAACCTTTCCCGCTCTCTCTCTCTCTCTCATTCTCTCTCTCTCTCTCTCTGCTCATAAACGAGCCTTGCACATTTCAATATCTAAAATTAGCTTATATCAACAACATTTGAGTAACCAGAACCAAATGAAAAAAAAAGATAGTAAATACAAATAAACAAACTTTTGACAGTTGGAAATCAACACATGAAAACCGCCACATTTTATTTTGTTGCTGTTGTTCTTGTTATTGTTGTTGGTTCTAATGTTGTTATTGTTGCTGTTGCCTTGCCGGACTAATTGTGGGCACAATTTTAATGAAATTTTCAACTGTCTGTTGTCAGTTGTGCCGGAATGAGAGTCATTTGTTGTTGACATCGCCAGTTGACGGACTGTCAGACAGCCTGGCGCATAAGTTAGACGAGACGTGGCTTAGTTATAGGCAAAAAATTGAAGGAGGAACTTTTTTAGCATACCTGCCGCATAGCCCAGTGGCAGCAATGCCCCCACATGTTGCTGAGTGCAACATGTTGCTAGTGTACGCTGCCTTTTACATAGTTGAGATCATCTATCAATTTAACAACTTTCAGAGAACATAATACGCATGAGCATAATCTCACAAATTGATTCTATGGACTGCCACACAGTTTTCCAGCTGAGGCGTATCTAATAACTTAATTCGTTTCGTGGAAACGCATAACATATCATCTAAGCATTTTCTTCACATTGCCAGTTGCTTGAGATAGACAAACTTTGGGCGTATCTAAACACAAAAATCTAAAGCTTAATGGCTCATTAAAAAAAAAAAACCCAAGAGAATACAGATAGCAAGTGGGGCACACACAACAGAAGAGAACGCACACACGGATGCGCTCAGTCAGTCAGTATCTGTGTTTTGATTACAAATTTATTGTTGGTAATATGTATGTTAAAATGAAAATGAAAATTCTTTATATCTCGCGACTCGACTGAGACTCAACTCTAGGCTGCTAATTATGCATGCCACATATGCAGCGGCAGCGAGCCAAGCGGTGGCAGATACTCGAGCCCCCCTTTAGCAGCAACAGGCTGTCAGTGGGCTTATGCAATGCGAAAAAATAATAAATAAATATAAGAAGGAAAAAATACAAAATAGAAAGGAATTATAATAATAATGATGCATTCGACTAAATAATGAAAAATAGTAACAACAACAGCACGCAGTCGGCCTACGAAATGAGCGGCAACATTCGCATCGTGTGAATTTCAATTAAGCCAGCAGCGAGTGCAACTGCCGCAGTTGCAGTTGCAGTTGGCTGCAGTAGCTGCAGTGGCTGCTGGAACAGTTAGATGCACTGGAAGTCATGAGTTTACTGCTAATTAAATGCAGCATATGCTGCTAATTAAATTTATGTGCCAGTCGCACAGCTCTGATTATCAAAAATTATTTATGCAAAATCTGACAGGAAATAGCTGCAAGCAACCGACAGGCAACGTGGCAATGTGGCAACTGGCGATGCATGGCTGATAAAGATAAAGCCGCAGCCAACAAAAGCCGCGGCGAGTGGCAACACTCTAGCTACCAACAAATATCCAACTTTGGTTAATTTAATTGTACATAGCTTTTGGTTGCATATTTAATTATGTTGCCACTAACTAGTGCCTGAGCTTGCTGACAGTTGATTACAATTATTGCTGTTGTTGTTGCTGAGAGCTGCATATTAAAGTTGTGGCTTATAATCAACCAGTTGCCCACTTGGCATGACTGTATTTGTGTAGCGTGTTTATTGGCATAAGCACAGTTTAGATAATATCTATATTTAGTTATTAGCTAAATATGGTCTTGTATAGACTATGTTTTGTATACATTTATATATTATTATTTCCATGCTCGTGCTTACCCTTTTTGCTCATCGCATCCAAAAGCGTTTTCTTTCTTCTTCTTGAACACAGTTAACACTTTACAATGTCTTTAAACACACAACATGTGCATAATATTCTTCAATTTTTACCTTTTCTGAAAAGATATCGGAAACATTATATTTATTTTTATTTAACTCTATAAATATGTAGAATACATTCAAAGTAACAACTTTTTCAACTTTTTACAAATGCTTACCCACAATTACAGCAACAAAATGAAAAACTGTTGCACAAGCGCTCAACTATTAACAAAATCCAATCTTTTCAGTGAATATCGCACTTGCAAGCTAGTTGAAAATATAAGCTTTAGTTATGTTTTATTTCCATGCGGGCATATCAATTGCTCGTCAATTGATTTTTCTGAATGCATTGCATGCACATTTTAGCTGCAATGCGTTTTATTTTATGAATGACAAATCCCACACAAATAGTCGGATGTGTGCACACGTATGTGTGGCAAACGCTTTGCATAATAGAACAAAACCAAAAAAAAATAAATGGAAAAAGCTAAAATTGCAAATAAAGAAACTCACTTAAGCGTAGATATAAATGTATCTATAAGTTTATATAGTGCCAAGGCGACAAGCAGGCAGCCCTCAAAAAGTGACTCAGCAGGCAAGGCGCGGGCGAGGGGGCCAAATTCCACTGCTGATGTCTTTATATATATATGTGTATATATACACTGGTCAACGTGTGTGTGTGTGTGTTTAATTCATTAAATTAAAATTAATGTTTATTTACGCGCAATTTTACAGCGTGCCTGAAATGTGGCGTTGCTGCTGCTGGCCAAAAGTATTGCCAACCGAGCATAAATTAAAATATATTACAAGCAAACAACAACAGCAACAATTGCAGTGCAGAGAAACTTCAGTCCAAAAGTTGTTGTTGCCATTTAAAATTAGCAACTGCAACTGCCAACTGCAGCAGCAGCAACGGCGGCAGCAACAACATTATTATTATTATTAGCAACATAACAACAACGTTTGTTGTTGTTGCTGTAGCTGGCACATAGTATGTACATTCGCAGCGTTTCCTTTGGCTAAGTGCGTATGTGAGTGTGTGTTGTATCTGTGTGTTGTTATTGTGAGCTTATCTGAACATTGAAAATCTTGAATTTGCTTTTCACTTCACTTTTAGCTGGCTGCTGTTGCTGCTGCTGTTGCTGCTGCCTTTTGCCTTTTTTGCGTAATTTAATTAGTATTCTGCGGCCAGAAATCCGATATTGTTTATGGCTCGGCTTTAGCACTGACGTTGATTGACAGCAAATAGTATAATTTTAGTATCTATATAAAGTATGGTTTTGTGTCTATGCATCTGCGTCTTCTGCATAAGCTTTTTGAATAGCTGCAGCATGTATGATCCAATCCCTCACACCCCCCTTCGTAGCCATAACAAACACACTGCGCCATGCTGCTGCATGTTGATGACAGTTTAATAAAAGCGAGCGCATTTAACGACTGCTGAGTGATTGTCCAGCCTAATGGAGCTCAAATATTTGTTTAAGCTACATGCATTTTGTCGCAGCTGCAACAAGCAGCAATTTTCAACTGGTTTCCCACTCCACATGTGTGTGTGTGCGAGTGTGTGTGTGTGTGTAAGTGGCCTATTTAATCAGTGGGAAAACATGAGCTCACAATTAGATAGCGATCTACAATAAAATCAATTTTGGATCACACATTGGTCTCAGCTCTGTCAACAGTATTTTTTATTTCACTTTTTGTTTCTGTCCAATTCAATGGACTAGAAATAGTTAGCTTAAAATCAAAAACACAGAGGCTTAGTTCGCAGAAGGGGTTGAAAACGTGACTGGCCTTAAAGTGTGTGTCTTCCAGCTCGTGCGTTAGTCACGTTTCCTGTTTTTCATTTCTTCTCAATTTTATCGCACTCGTGAGTCAGCTTCACGCACTCACTCGGCTGGCTTCACTATGACCCCTCTTCTACGCCCTTGTGCTGGACTGCAGCTAACTAAATACGTTTCTAGCACTATAATTAAATGATTGTTGGCCAGCGATAGGAAATTAAAAACGTTTTAACAGCGATACACGCTGATAAGACCTCGACCAAGCCAAACACAAAGCCCCAAAACAAAATTCAAATAAAAAAAAAAAAAAGAAAAACACAGACAGAAAAAATAAAAACAACAACAACGGCCAACGTGTAACAAGCCCGACAACAAAACTAAATACATGTTTGACGATTAGTACCATTATGTACTTTTATTTCTATTTCTATGAGCTGCATGTGTGTGCGTGCGTGCGTGTGTGTGTGTGTGTGTGTGTGTGTGTGTGTGTGTGTGTGTGTTTGTCATTAGAAATGCCAATTGGACGTAATACGTCAAATGTTTAGTGAAATTATTTTTAATGAAATGTTGTGTCATTAGAAGCGCAAACGGCACACACCAATACAGACACAGGCACAGCTACAACTACAGATACAGTTACAGTTACGGATACAGATACACGTACTCACAGATACACGTTCTACACTTCGAAGGGGCGCGTCTAGCTGAGCTCGCCACTGCCTGCCTTTGGGCTCTATCTCCCTGAATCTCGCCCTCTCTCCCTCTCCCTCGCCCTTTCTCTCTCTTGCTCTCTCTATGAGCATATGTTGGCTTTGTTAATTTAGCTAAGAGTCCATTAAATGTTTTAGTTCTTATTGCAGGGCTTCCACTAGTAATGTAATGCTTTAAAGGTGGCAGTAGCTTTCTCTCTCCCTCTCACTCTCTCTATCCCTCCCTCTCTCTCTCTCTCTCTCTCTGTATCACCTTATAAGCTGGCTCTGGGACCAGCAATAGCCGTAATTATTATGATGTGCGACATGCAGCGGGACAGCGCAAAAGGCGATTATCATTACAGGCAGAAAAAAAACGGGTAATAGCAACTGATATAAAAATAATGTTAATTGCACAAGTGAAAAAAGGTTTTTAGAGAAGATTACAAAATCAAACATAAATCTTTGACTGCCCACCACATGTTGGCACTTCTATGAATGCCTGGCTTTGGCATTTGGTCAGACATTGGCTGTAAAAGTCAAGCACTCAAAAAGAACTCAACACTTGTCTCGTTTTATTGCATTTAGCAGCGGTTAGTTACATTTTACAATCAAAGCCAATGTCCCACCCTGTCAGCCCCTGCAGCACAAAGTGAGTCAATTCAATGGGAAAGAGACGCTGACTGCGATTGTGAGTGTGCGTGTGTGTGTGTGTGTGTGTGTGAATGTGAGCCAGTCTCTGGTTGTGCCTGCTTTAAATGCCTCACTTTACTTAGGCAAACAGATTTTTATCATCGCTGCCGTCGCGTCGTTTTATGAGCATCATCAAAAACTAATAAAAACTCAATGCGTTCTTTATTTGCAGGCGACCGCAGGCAAAAGTTGAGGCACCAGCAACAACAACAACTACGACGACGACGACAACAGCAATAGCTGCAACAACAACTTGTACAGCAGCAACATGTTGCACTCGTGCACTCGCCCAAGCAATTTGCATACAAATGTTGCCGTGTGGCACTTGAAAATGCAATCGCTGTCACTAAAGGAAAACGGGCAGAGCCAGCCTGAGTCCCAACCAGAGGCTGCTCCAGGGCCCGGCAGCAGCAGCAACAGCAGCTGGCGAGGCTGCCGTTTCATAATTTGATATTAAACATGCGCCCCGTATGTAGAACTTGTAAATTTGCAAATTGCTGAAACGCATGACAGGCGCAGAACGAAGGCAGCTGCCTGATTCTTTTGCTGCCCTCCTCCCCTTCTCTATACCCCTGGCTGTCCTACTTCTTGCACCTTTCTCTCAGTCCGAATGCTGTGCCACACAGTTCAAAAGGCATTTTGCCCGCCAGCGCTGCGTGAATTTGCATTTACATGGCTCGACCCAAACCCAAGCCCAAACCCAAATTGAAAGCCGAACCCGCTTAGTGGCAGCAAGAAGTTAAATGCAGCCACGCCCCAGCCCGCGCACTGCCCACAAAACGTCGCTCAATTGACTTTCAATTGCAAAACAAACGCAACACAAAGCAGTCGAAAAACAAAGCAAAAAACCAAACCAGAACAAAAACCAGCTGAATTTATTTCAATTTTTTGTTTTCGTTTTCGTTTTTTGCCATTGACTGGGTTATGATATGTTGATTTCCAAGTGCGCATATAGTATATGATTGACATACTCATGTTGCCCGATCAATTGAACGCCTGCGAGTGGATGTGGAAGCTGCCAAGTGTTTATTTTGCAATTTTTTTTTGGTTTGAAAATTTCATTTCTTAAAGATTTGTTAATACAATATTTTTTGCTTATATTACACTTGGCAGCGTTATAAAACTTATGAATCTCAAGTGTGTTCACGCTTTCCTCAACGGAAGAGTGTCTCGAGATTTGGCTTAACAGCAAAAGGTAAACCCACAAGACGGGCTGAGAGTACTTGAAATATCCAGAGAATTTGTTTATAAGATCTTGCCAGAGAAAATATATAAATCTAACTAGTTTTCTCTGTCTCTCTCTCTCTCTCTAAATAGTTTTTCTCTGAACTTGTCAAATTGAGAATCTCAAGTGTGCTCACGGATTTACCTAAGAAACAAAAAAATAAACCTATAAGACTGGCTGATAGTATTTGAAATATCTGGAGAACTGTTTTATACGATTTTCCCAGAGAATAAAAGTATTAATCTAACTAGTTTTTTTCTACCTCTCTCTCTCTTTCTCTCTCTCTCCCTCTCTAATTAGTTTGTCGCCAGTTTTCTCTAGCTAGTTCTAATCTGCAAAATAAGTTTTTAGATTAGTTAGATTTGCCTTGTTTCTGATTTATATGAACTTAAGCGCAGTTGCCACCTCTGCCCACTTGTAATTAAGAGCGTCATGTTTAAGTATAAACGGATAAATTTGATAGTTGGAAGTCCTTTTCGGCTTGTGCCATCAGGCGGCAACACTTTGCTACTATTCAAGCAGAGCTCCAGTAATTTTTCCAACCTAAAAAGCACGCAATTAGCCATTAATCATTTTTATGAGACATTTCTGCAAAAGGAAACACAACACAAACAGACGAATATTTAATAGTCACGCAACATGGAAAAGGCACAGATCGCATTGAGGGGAAACCAAAACATGGCTAGAGAGCTAGAAAAGGATAGCGATTAGATTAAGGCAGCCGCTTCGCTCGCACAAGCACGTGAGTGCTGCTTGTGGAAAATGTCAATCTAATGGAAAACAATAATCAATAGGCCATACTGTAAGCAGCAGGAAAAGGACCCACAACCAACTGTCAGACAGTTGAGCAAGCAGAAAAAAACATACAGCACACAAAGTCGTCGAGGAAGTTGCGCCCAGGATAATAAGAGCCGTGTGTGCGTGTGTGGGCCATGTGTGTTACGCACCCCCACAGGCTACACAGTCATGTGTGTATATGTATGAATGTGCTTGTGTGTGCACTTTTCTGGGTAGTTCATAACTTTTGTGACTTTTATCGTGGATGTTTGTGGTGGTTTCTTGGCCCAGAGCCGAGCAGGACTCACAGTTTGACTGCCATGTTTTTGCCTGGCCCCGTACACGCCCGTGCTCACACACTCACACACACACACACACTTATTTGTAGGCGTCGCCCAGACGCTCTGTCTCACTTGCACCCGCACAGTTTGGAAACTGTGCCAAAAAGTTTGGCAAAGAACTTGCCAACTGACACACATGCCACGAACCGTTGCAACAAAATGCGTCTAAAAACCGTTGTGCATGCGTACAGAGCTCTAGTTTATCGTATACGCAATTTTTAGCGTGTTTCCTTGTAGCAGACCCGCAACACACGGTGCGGTTCAGAGAGATCGTCGAATCTTATCAGCGCCCACAATAATCGCACATGGTGTGGCCCGCGGCTTGACATCGCCGCTCGATGAGCAATTGAAAAGCAATCGGCAACCGTTGCGAAATTTAAATGATGTCACACCTGGGTCGTCAACGACCGATACTGTCGCTGATAGTCCACACCCAAGCAGCCCAGGCAGACATCAAACCCTATAGAAAGCGATAAGAGAGAGAGAAAACTAACGACCTATCTGCATATACAAGTCATTAGCCGGTGCGTAGGATTCCTCACAGCTGATTTATGTCGTAGGCTCCCATTGAAATTCATGAGTGATCAACAAGAATTATATTCAAAGTGAAAACATAATAGCCAACACAACATTTCTACAACAAATTTTCGAAAATGAATACAAGAAATAAATGAAGTCAGCTTGGTAATAGAGTTTGTGCTCAGCTAGAGGATACCCTGTAGTTATCAAAGCTTAATTCAACAATTCCTTTTAAAGGATAATCTGAAACATTATCCTGGTTAGGTGGACCAGAAAATCAAGCTAAAGATATCGTATCTTATTTTAATTTCAATTCATGTTTACTTCAAGAATTCTCTTCTAAAATCTATAAAAGAAATGTAGAATATTCATCTAAAATTCTTTAACAGTATCCTGTCATTAATATTGAATTATTTTCATGAATTAATTAAAAAGTTAAGCTAAGTTCAAAAATTGTATTTATAAATTATTATTTGATAGTGATTAATCGCAGAGTACGACAATCTTACTACTTAATCTCAAATTTTTCTCTATTTTCAAGTTTCTTTTAAAACTATTTGAGTCGTTTTTTTGATGGATATTCAACTTTTTTTCTTAAGCCATTGCTTTATTTTTGTCTAGTGAACAAAACTAAAATGCCCGTTAGCTGTATTCTGTACAGGGTATGAAGAGGCAACCGAAACGGGGCGTGTTACGAGCAATGAAAATGTGTGGCCGTTGTGGCTTTGGCTGCACCTACGCGTCGCCTGAAATTTATATATATGGGGAAACAGTCGTAGAGCATATACATGATGTCGCCCTACACGTTAGCATATAAAACAAATTATAATTTATTTTATATTTTCAAGTTTTTTTTTTTTGTTTGAAAACAACGGACAGCAGCTGCCCGAGCATAATAAGTATAAAAAATAATAATAATATTAATAATAAATATAAACCTGTCCATAGTTTATGAAAAGAACTGTTGATGTATGAATTGTATGCGACTGTATAGGCAGAATCATAAATCTAATGGGCCCCGTCAAGGTGTGCGCTGAAGTGTCAGCCATAAATTACAAATTTATGTTCATCTTCTCTTTTTTTGGTCAAAACGAAAGCTAAGGCTAAAGAAAATGCTCGCTACATTGAGAAAGCGAGAGAGAGAGAGAGAGAGAAAGAGGGGTCCGCTTTTGGGGTTTTAGTTTTTCCCGCTGATTGCCATAAAATCGTATAATTTTTATTAAATGCTGCCGCATCAATTGCGTCATTTCGACTGACACATTGGCCCCCTTATGGCGTTAATTTCCTTGGATTTGGCGACGTCGTTGTCGCCCCCTCGTGGCCCAATCATTGTTATGACTTGGCAAAATTGCCGCTAATCGGCGGTCTTGTAGACGTTGACATCTAACATTTATCTTTGTCTTGCCGGCTTTGGCATATTTCATGTGTACAACTAGAAAAGCGAAACTTTTCCCCAGTCGATGGGAATTACGCTATTCGGGAATTCGACAAATATTATTTAATGATATGATACAATCCTAAGGACTGCTTCCTTCGAATGCAACTAGTTAGAGCTCTTTGAAATCGTTTATTGAATTAAGAAAAGTGGCGTTTAATTCCTTCTTTATTCCATTTCACTTAAGATCTCTTTTTACTTTCGGTGCCTTCCAGTTACAAGCAAAGTTTACCGTTTCATGACTAATAAGTCGTGTCGTCAAAGAGTCAATTCTCACCCAATCAGCCCACATATTCACGGAAACGGCTCATTAAACTCTCGGGACAAAAATATGAAGGAAAGAAGTAACAACTCAAGATTGCCCGACTTGGAAATACTCTATTTCCAGAGAATATACTTTGCATACACTCAAAATTTCTTCAAGTTCTTTTTCTTTTTTTAAATATTCTCAGTCTGTGAGCACACAAACAGAATAATGTGTTTCCAGTTCTTATAAGCCTTGAGTCATGGGATAGTTTTAATATATAAACTTGGTCTACACTTAATACACGATATCCTACATATCGATACGATACCCTACAAAGAAAGATAGGCAGACAGCAGAAAAGTAAGACAGACTTTCAATAATGTCCAAGAGTAACTTTATAGGGGCGAAGGTGTCTCATTCAGCATGTTACAACCAATGCATCAGACCCCGTTTTTAGACATACAGGGTATATACAGAAAAAAAGGCAAAGCCGAAATATATAAAATAAAAGTTGACCTTCAAAAACGCACAGAAATCAAACAGCAATTACAAAAACAACAAAGCAACCCAACCAAGCGAAAATCAAACCCAACAAAAATATAATAATGTGTGTGTGCGTGTATCTATGTGTGCGAACGTGTGCTTCTATGTATGTAGATGCGAATGTATATTTGTATGTGGATACACATATTATATACATATGTATATGCTGTTCGCTTGGAAACAGGTTGTTGTCTGTGTCAGTTTTTTGTGTTATTGTTAACATTTATTTCATTATGCTTTTTCACAGCCAAAAAGTTGAGTTGAGAGCTACGCAAACTTTCGCACGCACACACACACGCACGTGGCAACACACACACACACACACACTGACAGACAGCCAGTCAAACAAACAAAGAAACTCAAATTGGCGCGCCAAAAAGTAGTGTAAAGTTATGTATGTATGTATATGTGCAGGTAGATAAATGTACCCCTACATGCACATACACATGTGCATATATGTTCACAAAGATTCTAGAATGTGATTGCACTTCAATTTGAAATAAATTTGAATGATTATTTCTGTACAATCTTTGAAAATAATTGTGCAATGTGTGACGTCATCAGCAACTAAATTTAATATGTGCAATCAGACAAAGGGAACAAGGCAGCGTTTGCGAACTAACGAATATTAAATACTCTTTGGGCAAAGAATTAAGATGTCGCTTATTTTATTGCCCTAAATGGAGCTCCATATATAGATGTGCAGGTGTTGTAGAGTAATATGTCATATACTCACTTTCTATATATCTCGTAGTTCCCTCTATTTGAAGTTTTCTCAAATCCACATTAATAAAATAGAAATAGTTCTACGTGGCAAAGAATCGGCAAAAAAAAAAGTTTCAAAGCGCCAATCAGCGACCGCGGCGAAATAGAGAAAAGGCGCCAAACATTTCGGTTTGACTCGTCAACCCGACGAATTTCTTATCAGAAATTTAATTTTTTTCTTTTTGCAGTACTTGCAAAGAGACTCGCGATTTGCTCTGTGAGTTGCTTGTTTACTTTATGGAGGCAGCTTTCGACGCCGACGGGGTGTGAGTACGCGTCTTAACGGTTAACAGTAGAAAAGCGCGCACGCGTATCTAGATAAATATCTATGACTACATAAATATTCATACAAATTTCGAAACTATCCAATGTCCGTTATTGAATGCATTTCTATCCGTATACGCACACACACACATACACACAGACATAGGCTGGTTATAAAGAAAAGCTACACCTGCAGGCCGCACGTGCCAAATTTGCTAATGAATTGGCCAAAAATAAAAAAGCAGCGGCTATGAGGTGTTAATCAGCGGCAGCAGAGAAACAAAAAAGGCGCCAAAAAAT